TGATTAGGTCATAATTATTGATGACTTTGAATTATAAAAAATTGAATGGGCAATAAATTCTTTGCTTMTTCAGTGAGTGTCTGTCATCTATAACAGTTTGAGATGCTGCAAGTTAACCTGCACAGCATCACACTTCACAGTCAATTAAAATGAAAGTGGYTGGTTCTGACTTTGGGAATTCAACACTATAGGCCCTGTCTAAGGCCAGTTTTTTTGTATCTTGTCTTATTGGCACTTTCCATAACTGATTTGCACTGTCTGAAATCAGACACAATAAATGTTTTATATAATGATGGCAGGTTGTTTAATATGGAGTATAGACATTGGGAAAATTTTTATGTTTTCAACAAATTACATAGCTTTTTTACGCATAAAAAGTAAAGCTTTTTTCTGTATTCTATACTCTATTTTCTTTATTCTAGAAAGAGAAAACCCATGTATTTTGAAATGGTTTCAACTATGAGTTTGAATTGGGAGATGATAAATGTAAGCACATGTGGTTTGGGAGTGTGTAGATGTTTTCCTGTAGATGTTTTAACCTTTTTCCCCACCAAGTGATGAGAACACAAGAATTTGACCTGGAATTAAGGAAAATTTATGTTGAAAATTAGCTTCTAAGACAATCTCTGGACTGTGGAAAAGAGATGTGCTGTATTATCCTGTAGTCCTTCCCTACTGATACCCAGAGATGGAAACCTGGGAGGAGAGATGAGATGAGTGCCTGGTCAACATCCCAACACAAAGTGGAAGGCAAAATGCTGGAGGGTCTGGCAAAAATCTAGAGGGTCTAGATGTGATCTGGAGGACCAATCCAATAGTGCCTAGCAAAGCAGGTCCATCATTGCTCTCTTAGATATCACATCACACTAAAATAATTTTTTGGCTGTTCTATTTCATGGCTGCTAAAATTTGATTTGGGCATGTGATAAGTGGGGGATGTCGAGCAGCTTGACCAAGTGAAATAATTACTAGGGATGTGATAGGAAGAAAGTCTTGGGAGAGAGGGAGATTCATGTTCAGAGACAGAGAGGTTGAATTGGAGGTATGATCAAACTTTGGTAAGTTAAGTTAAATAGCCCACAACATTCTGTCTCAGACTTGCATTCAAATAGAGCCAGATTTGTTTGCCTACAAATAGAGCTGGATCTCTGAAAAGGGTGACAAGTGCTAATTCTTTTGATATTTGCCATTGGAAAGAGTATTGACATATGTGAGGCACTGGAAAGAGTTACTGGAAAGATAACCATCAATAAATGGAGCCTTAAGATTCTACCTTTGAGTTGGTAGCAAACAGTGCAGAATTAGTTAAAACATGAATATTGCAAAGACTCAAGTACTGTGTGAGGTTCAGTACAAAGCTCAGGGAAAATGAAGGAGACCACAGGTTCCCCTACAATCGCTCTGCTAATCCAAAGTTCACGTAATTACCTCATATACGTGCAGGTGTTTATCTGCTCACTCTTGTTTTCTGAGCCCTGGGCAGGGGAGGTTAAGTGATGGTGTTTGTGTCATTTTGCTTCCACAGTTGACAGTATTGTAACATTGGATATAAAAATTTTTTGTGATGTTGAGATTAGGGAAACAAATCCAGTTTCAACCTCCATAAACATGGAACTTAGAATACTAGTAACTAAAACAACTGCAAGTAAAGTGTAAGTTTCATTTTCCTTGAAAACTGCAACCATTGTATGCTGACATTACTAACAAGCACAATATGATGAGTTTTGTGTCTTTCTTAGTATTTTAAAAATATTGTGTTCAGTGAATATCAAATTTTGTCTAGTTTGCATGCCTACCCAAAAATAGTAATTCYAAGTACTTTATTTCATTTTATTTGTGGTTTCTCATTTATATGATATATTCATGGCTCATTCAGATTGGTCCTGCAAAATACCAGAAAAATCCTTCAATACTTTATTAAAGTAATYTAACTTTTTAATGAAATATTTAAGTTGCCTTTTCCAAAGAAGGAAGCTTTGTAATTACCATTAAACTAATGTAATAATACTGTAATATTATTAGCAGTTATTTTAAGCAGATAATCATTTTCTCTTAAATTAGCCTATGCTGTTACTGTAAGGCCATTCACCTCTAATAACACCTCACCTCCCTAAAGAATACAGTGKTTAAGGGGGGCATTTGGTTTGGCTCAAATTTCTAAAGTGCCTTCATTTTCTTGTCTTCCATGAAATTTAACTTGTTTGAAAAGGTGRTGTTAGACAAAGCAGACTTTAAATGTTTAGCATAAAATTCTAAGAATGTTTACCTGGTGTTTTTGATTTCCCTTGAATTAGGTTTTATTTGGTTTGATTGGGGGATGCTTTTAGGGGGAAAAGGGTCTGTTTCTAGTAAGATCCTGATGGTACTTTAAACTTGCCAGCTCTAGATGGCTGGATGAGTCAAAATTACCACGTGGCATAATTCCTGGAGCTTGAGCTGGCAGGGAGTCTGCGGGCAGGGTGCTGCTCTCAGAGGGAATATAGGTCAGAATCTGAGCCATGAGAGCATTTGCAGGAGTCAGGGCTGAAATCCTGAAAGGTGCGTGTATTTATGTGAATGTGTTTGCATTCACTTTTGGAAGGCATCTCAAGTTGTTTCTTTTTAATCCCTCACTCCTTCTCCTGGCTTTCAGATCAGTAAGATCACACATAGGTGGTTTATTTTAAACCACACATAGGTGGTTTATTTTCTAAGCCAGGTGGAAAGATTGGAGTTTGTACCCCAGAGCGGTGTGTGCTGTTTAGTGCTCTGAGTTTTTTATGTGTGCTGTTYCTAGAGTCAATATTAACAAAGCCCYACAGAAGATGAAAACAGTCTGCWTTGAAGCTGTGAATAKCATTGAAGGTCTGCTACATRTTMATASAGYAGCTCCTATTTATGCAGGAGGAACTTGTGTATCTGTGTTTAGAGTCATGCAGTCTTAGAAAAGGTGGTACTTTTGGATGTATAGTTTCTCCAGGATGTTTAAAGAAAAAAGCTGCAATGTAGGCTACAGTATCAGGTATCTTTTTTTTATTTTGTTGGTTATTTTTTTCCCCGTCTTTCTAAATCTATATGGTCTTTGTTACTGCTAATCAAATTCACTGTCTCTCTCTAAACTTCCAATTTTTAGGGAGGGAATTTGAAGGAATTAGGGCTTGTATTTTTACATTTGCTAGTTTTGGATCCAGAGCTGGAAATGTCACAGTTCCGTTAAACAATCCTTTTCTCTAATGTCTCTCTGAAAGTAGAGGTGATGTGTGACTGCGGTGTTTCTCTGGTGGCATCATGTCAAACATAGAATTGTTTGCAACGTGTACCGAGTGCTTCTGCTTCTCTCTTCTGAGGGTTCTATAAAAGTTCACAATTTTAATACTTAATAGTAACTCAGAGAAATTTACTCCCTGAAAAAATAATTGTGTAGATGAGGATAGTGACTGCCCTGTTAATCTGAAGAAATCTGCATGCTTAAGCCACTGTTTTCAAAATAAAAGCAGTATTGTACTGCTTAGAAATAGTGTCTCTTGTCTTGTGGTAGGTGATTTCTGCATGGAAAGAGAGAGAAAGACAGACATTAAATTAAATTAAATTAAATGTACTCATCACAGGAGTTAACAGCTGTTTGACTAAGAGGCAGCAATGCTATGCACTGCTGGAAGGTAAGAGCTGAAGTTGTTCCTTWCTGCAGGCACTGGGAGGCTTTAGGCAGGCAGGAAGGTTTGGATCAGGAAAAGGGCTGGAACACAAGGACCCACAGCTCCATTTCAGGACTAAACCCTCACAATGAACAAGGACATTTTGAAGTAAAATGCTTCAAGAATGAGCAATGAGATTGTGTTTAACTGAATTCTCTTGGCAGTCTTACAGATAATATTGCTGAAGATTTTATGGCTTCTGTTTTTAGATGMTATTTTTATCATCTAAATGTTTGAATTGAACATTGGTTGTAATTTAACTCTGAAAAATTCTTTCTAATGAAAATYTTCTTTATAGTAAATGTACGCAAAAATTTACCTAATTGCATCTCAAAAAAACTGTATTTGAATCCAGTATTTTCAGAAATAATAGGGTTCTTGATCAGTCTGCCCTTACTGGGAACTAAAAGGGAATTTGTTGAAAAAAGTAAAGGAAGAATGGATGCCTCATGGATCTTCATGGAAATCATAAAATTTGCTATGAGCTTTTGGAGTTGCTTATGTTGCTTGCTGTTGGAATTTCCATCTTTCAGTTCCAGACACTTGGAGAATCAGTTCAGTAGTGAATCCAACCTGTTTTGCTGTGGCCTCCCCTCACCCTGTGGTGCTGGGGGAGCCCTGTTGGGCTGGTGCAGCTTCCACTGGGGCAACCAGCACCACCAGGGGCTGATGGTGCAGAAGGAGCAGCTCTAAAGGCCTGACAAAGGAGTTAAAAACTTCTCAAGAGGATTTTAGCCAGCTTTATTTGCTCTGCTGGCAAACTTGTAGATTTCTGAATAGTGTCTTAAATAATAAGTTTATTTTCAGTGGCTTTATGATTTGTGACAGCCTTTGTTTCGTGGTCCTACCTTGTTTGTTTGTCCTTTTAAGCACAACACATCATACCCTTGATCAAAAGAGACCTTTTTTGCATAAATTTCACACAATGATTTTCGTTCAGTTGGCTGCTACAAAGATAGTTTATTCTTATATAATTTTTATTCACCTTTAGAATTAGATTTATGTAATTTGTGACTACCTASCTCTGTTGTGTGTCACTGTTACCTTTTGCCTTTTAGCATAAATCTACCACATCAGTGCAGGGAAAAAAGAAAAAGGCATTTTATCCCACATGACAAAGTTACTCCCTTAAGAGACAGAGACTTCCACTCACCTTAGACTGTAGATGTTACTGCTAATATGCTGTAGTAATCACTGGGGAAATCATAGCTTACACACTGGGCTGGAAAAAATCTGAAAGGTCTGGAGYGGTGCTGGATGGCCTAAGGTGCTTTTTAAGAATGAAACATGAGTTTTTAATGTTTTTCCTTTTTTYCTTCATGTTAGAACTTTCCTTCAGCAGTGGCTGAAGAGCATGTTAAAGCTTATGGATTGATTATGAAAGATGTTCAGACTGGAGATACTTACACACCTGAAGATGTCAGCTGGCTGCTCTATAGATTCAAATCAAGTTAGACATCCAATTTCCCATTTTTAGCTATTTGAGGCACTTTTTTTCCCCAATCCCGTGTACCTCCTCAGGCACTTTTTAAGCTGCTTGAAGAAATCTGTCAGCACCTTTTTCAGACTCTATGCACATTTGAAAAATGTGATCCTAACTCCTCCAGAGCTGTGTCCACCAGAGTATCTCTGTTAGAATGCAGATGTCAGCCTACTGRCACAAAGCAATACTCTCCATCAACTTTAGAGGGGAAGACCAARTACCTTTCCAAGAGTTAACTGATCAGGGGTCTGGATGAACCACATTCCTGGCCTTCAGATCACTTCCCAGACCTGCTCCTAACAGTTGTCTTCAGTGGGAAAATGGACAGCTCTCTCCTACAATCGCATGGGGCTGGGGGAATTACTGGCCTTACAGTGGTACATGGTTTCAGGGAGTCTTTGGACAGACTGGGGCAAGTGATGTCTGTGTCCAGTCCTCATCTTGGTGATTATTCTAATCAATTGAATTGAAAAAATACAGTTATATGGTTAAAATGCTCTAAAAAAAAGGAGGGTTTTAATGAAGTTATACCTGGTATCTGTACAGTGAGAGAAGTAGTGTGGGGACTGAATGTTGGCTTGGATAGGAGCAGGAGTGTCTTTGGAATGTAGAACCTGGAAACTCATGTCTGGCAGGTTTATAGACAATCAGCAGCATGGCATCGAGAAAAACTATTTTCAGAAGAAAAGCTGCCATAACTGTAATGAGGTGATAATTCAGCAGAACAGACTGTTTCCACTGAAACATTTTTGACTGAATTACAAAATATTGCTAATGTGGTATTCAGTTTTCCCTTTTGTTTCTGTTGGAAATCTGAGTAAGCCTGGTCTCAGCTGTAAAATTCTGTTTACCTTTCTTTTACTTGAAGACACAGATGGCTGCCATAACATAATTTTGTTTTATATGCAACAAAATGGGGTTTTAATAAATAAAAGGGACAAAGAAAATGAATACATTTTCTCCAGTCTCCATCCTTGTGTTTCAGTGAAAATCTAAGCAGCAAAATTTTTAATCTGAGATATGGATATGTCTTCATTACTCCTGTTCTTAGAATCACAGGAAAGTCTATGAAAGCTGTGATCCTTTGCTTCTCAATCCTTGTTATAGAGGACCACAGGAAAGGAAATTAAGTGTTTGATACAGCAATGAATACATTTATGAAAGTTCAGCTATGTCAGAAAATCCCTTCAATCTCGTATTCTCCTGGGTTTTTTTTTTGGCATAGAAATTGGCTTCAGGCTAAATATATAATATTTGAGGCTGAAGTATATGAAGATTTTGATACAGGCATCTCTTATTCTGACAATGTGAATGTCAAAACTAATATTTTTTAAAGTAATATAAAAATAGCTTGTTTTAGGTGCTATAGTGTGATGGTTTGGTTTGGAAGAGGCTCTTGGGAGGGTTACTTCTGTGGGGCTTGTTGTTGGTTTGGGGGTTGTTTGGGGTTTTTATTTTTCATTTTAAGTAATTGGGGAGAATAGGCTAAGAGAAAGGAATGAGAAAAGTTGTGTGGAGGCTAAAATACTGATCCTGTGTTCATATGTAATTAGCACAACAATRTTGTAACTATTTTAAGCAGGACAATGCTCATGCTCCTTTATGCACCTCAGGGCCAAAAAGGATTTGAACTTCTGTGAATCTGCCCCACTGAATACCGGATGTACACAGGTCAGGTGGTTAAAAACCATGCCAGCTTCATAGCTGAGTATCTCTGCTCGGGTCCAGAATATCAGTGGTAGTCCTCAGGGCAATGCAAGCATAGCAGCAGCCAAGGAGTGCCCAAAAGAATTCAAAAGAAATACAGCTCAAAGAGAAATTGCAATTTTTCAATTACATTCAAAGATATGGTCTTTTAGAGGACAGTATTCATTTAAGTTGAAAATTAATCTTTTTCTGAAAGACAGAGAATTATACTGAGTCACAAGGGGATCTATTGTTTAAATTATTTTGGTATTATTCAGTCTCCAGACAGTGACTTTTATCTTTTTTAGAAGTGTGTGCTTAGAATGTCCTTTTTGTACAAAGACATGGCAATGGGTCAGGGCAATCCCAAGCAAAAATATGGGCTGGGTGGAGAATGGATTGAGAACAGCCCTGATGAGAAGGACTGGAGGGTGGTGCTGGAGGAGAGGCTGGACATTCCCTGGCCATGGCACTGACAGCCCAGAGAGCCAAAGGTGTCCTGGGCAATGTGGGGAGGGAGGGGATTCTGCTCCTCTGCTCTGCTCTGCTCTGGTGAGACCCCATCTGCAGGGCTGCATCCATCTGTGGGATCCCAGCATAAAAAGGACATGGAAGTGTTGCAGGGAGCCCAGAGGAGGCCACCAAGTTAATCAGAGGGATGGAACACCTCTCCTATGGAGACAGGCTGAGAGAGTCAGGCTGGGGAGAAGATGTGGCTCTGGGGAGACCTTATTGCACTTCCAGGGGTGCCAAAAAGAGAACTGGGGAGGGACTTTTTATGAGGGCATGGAGTGATTGGACAAGGAGGGATGGCTTCAAACTGAAAGAGAGCAGGTTTAGATTAGATATTAGGAATAAATTCTTCCTTGTGATGGTGGTGAGATGCTGAAATAGGTTGCCTAGAGAAGCTTTTGGTGCCCCATCCCCATCCCTGGAAGTGTTCAAGGCCAGGCTGGATGGGGGTTTGAGCCACCTGGTCTTGTGGAAAGCGTCCTCCCATGTCAGAGAGGGCTGGAAAAAGATATTTTTCAGATGTCTTTCAAACTAAATGATTCCATGATTCTATGACATTTAGGAAAGGACATTAAATGGGAAGGTCTAATGCCCTTCTCCAGCTTCCAACAGACCCTGTTTTAAAGTCTGAGGGCYGCTGCTTTAAATACCTCTCTTTCCTTTGATGCTAATGCACCAACACATTTATTTAAAATAGACAWACCTCCTTTCAGCTGTTGTGTTCTGATGCTAAAGAAATTTGAGCTATCTCAGTTTTCTTACCTGAAATTCATTCTCCATTTTTACCAGCACCCTTAATCCTGTTACTTGAATGTGAGTGGCAAGTGTACACAGTATTGCTGATAAACAGGAAATAGTTTTCCTGTTGTGTCTGAAAACCATAATTGTTTTTTTTTTTTTTCCAAAGTTGTTGATTCCTGATACTCAGCCCTTATTCCTTACAGGCTTAAGTCTTTGTGCCAGTGTGTTTTCTGGACTAAAATGCTTCCATCTTATGGAGGAAGTGCTGTTTGTTGCTATTGAATGTGCTGCCTTGTACTTAATGCATTTATATTTCTGTTACTCATATCTTCCATGTGTAATTCCTTCTGTAGCCCATTGTGGTTTTACTTGGTACTGATTCTGCCTTTGAAATTTCATTATAAAGCTTCTACAACTTTTGCTGTAACGTTCAGTGAAAATCTGAAATAAAATTAGCCCTGCCACTGAATCTCAAGGAAATCTCCTTACTGTTTCAGCTCTACATTTCCTGATTAGCCAGTCTGTGAATCTCTCTAATTCCTTCCAACAYGGTAATAATTTTTGAAAAGGCGCTATATCAAATGCTTTGTTGAAGTTCAGAAGATAAGAGCTACTGCATTTCCTTTGTCTAGACAAGCAGTTATCTTATTKAAGGGAAATAAATTAGTCTGCTTGATCTCCTCTTAATGAACACATGTATTTTTCTAATAGGAATATATATGTRTATACRTAAATATATTGTGACAACCAWCAGAAACAGTCACCCARTCAGTGAGGATGCAAAATCATTATTAAATCTCCAATTACTGGCAACATCTAGAATATCTTGTGGTTTGTAGTAACATACTGGCTAGATCATACAGTGTCCCTGTCATCCTACTGATGTTGGAGATGTCAAACTAAAGAGCAAGAAATACTCTGAACTGATGGAACTTGAGGAAAAGGAAGATCCAGAACTGCACTAACAAAAGGCTGAATCGTAACTGGTGGAGTTCTGGAGGGGTAGGTGTTWTTYTGTTTTTATTTCYTTAGCATGTTKCAGRGGCTTGATATTGTCAGATCTTTCTGAAATGTAAAGGTATGTTTTTTGTTTTAAGAGTTAATATACAGGGTTGATTCTGAGTTTGTTATTTTTATTAATTTATTTATATTCCTAAATACTTTCCATGTCACTGATTGTTTTGGTGTTTGTTTTACACTGGGCAATGTAGCCATATTTTCCTTTAGTACCTGCCATAGTTTATTTGCAAAGTRTTTCTGACTGCAGCTTTAAATCTGTTTGGGTCTCAGCCTGTTGGTGTGCTCCAGATGGCAGCACGTTTGTWTAACAAAACCAAAATGTGCTGCTACATATCAGTGTGGATCTGTCTTGGCTTTTTCCCCTTCTTAGTTTTAGATTCTTTATGCAGCTTTAGTGTTAACATTGAACTAGAGTAACTTATCAGAAATAATGCAAACTTCTTTAAAACACAGAATTGCCTTCATTGTTGGAAATCAAATCAAGTGATGGATCTCCTTCAGAAAGTCTTGACTTTAAATTATTGTCCTGAAGTAATAGAACCATTAAGACGAAATCTGATTAATGGACATTTGTGATATTTCTAGTGTGAGCATTTTAAGCTTTGATGTCAAGAAACTTCTTAATAAGCTCAGGAAGTACCTCAGTATCTGCAGAAAAACACATTTTTATGGGGTCTTCATTATTTTCTCATCTTTAGCATTTTCCATGGAGAAAATATGTTTTTACAGGCTTTAGGTAGATGTCGGGTGGGAAGCTTTTCTCATTTGCAGTTTTGGAGCTCTCAAAGACAAATTCTGCTCTTGCATTTAAAGGAAAGAATGGGTCAGTTTTATTCAAGGTAAACTCAGCTGTTTGAAGAGAATCCTGAATTTTCAGCACAGATCAGCAGAATATGTTCTCCCCTTTGCCTTCTTAGTGAGAGAATCTTTTCCATGGAAGAGGCAGCAATGAAGTAATAAAACTCTTGAGATGGAGTTGAAAACACAGACCAGCCATTCATTGTGTTAATTT